TTTGAAAAATGGTCGAGCGTGTTGCGTGGAGTTTGCCACAAAACGGGAGAGCGAGGTTAGCATACCGTTTAGGAATTGTATGGATTTCTTCGAGCTAGGTGTAGGAAGCTCGGAGAGTGCCTGGTATTTGTTAGATAGAAATCGAGGAATTTGCCCACCTTAACCCCGAAGGTGCATTTCTTAGGGTTAAATATCATTTTGCATTGTCGCGGTTGGGAGAAGACTCTTTTGTGGTGGGCATCGTGATCGGTATCTATTCTATATTTGATGATCATATCATCCATGTATACTTCGAGCATATCACTGATCTCGTTACGGAAGACTTTGTTCATCATCCGCTAGTATGTTGCCCAAACATTTTTTAGACCGAAGGGCATTACATTGTAGTAGTAGTTTCCCGAGCTGGTCATGAAAGCGGTGCAATGCTTGTCGCTCATTGCCATTGGGATTTGGTTATAGCCCGAGTAGGCGTCCATAAACGATAAAATTTTATAGTCGGCCGAGTTGTCGACTAGCATGTAAATATTAGGTAAAGGAAAAGCATACTTAGGACATGCCCGATTAAGATCAGTATAGTCAACACATCTCCATTTTCCATTATTTTTCTTAACAAGTACAACATTTGAGAGACAGGTTGAATACCAGGCCTCAAAAATAAAATTAGTCTCTATGAGGTCTTTTACAACATTTTCAGCAGCCTCCGCTTTCTCGGGAGACTGCCTATATCTACTTTGTACTACTGCTCTATCGGCTGGATCAATGGCCAACTAGTGACAGGCGACCTCTTCGAGTCCGGGCATCTACGCGGCGCTCCATGCGAACAGATCCGCGTTCTCCCTCAAGCAAGATTTGATCAACTTCCTCGCTAAATCAGAGAGTCCAGTGCCGATCTTCACACCTTTGTGAGGGTCTTCACCGAGGGGGACGAGCTCGAAGTCTCCGTCCGAGATTGGTCGGAGGAGTTCCTGTTCACCGTTGGGGGCGTCATCCTTGTCGAAGCGAGTGTTGAGCGATATAAAGTCGACCTTGGGTAGAGCTCTTTGTTCTTCTGTCTTAACAGGCTATGGTTCAAGTTGAGCAGTTGTAGCTCCCTTGGCAGGTTGCGCCCCGGTGTCGACTGTACTCTATCCCTTAGAAGCCGCGTTGAAACATCTTCGAGCAGCTGAGATGTCCCCGTGGATGGTAGCGACGCGTCCCCTCCTTGTGTAGAATTTCATCTTTAGATGGACAGTGGAGGGTATGAAGGTCAATTCGGCCAATGTTGGTCTCCCTAGAATGCAGTTGTAGAGAGACGGGCAATCGATGACCAGAAATCGCACCTTGATCTTCTGGGATGCAGTTTATTTCCTGAAGGTGACGAAAACCTCAATGTAACCCCATGGTTTGGAGGTCGAGCCATTGAAGCCTTGCAGGTCGGACCCCATGTATGGTGAAAGGTGGGTGTCGTCGAGCTGTAAGGTTCAAAACAAATGGTTGAACAAAACGTCGATGAAACTCCCCTCATCGACCAAGACATGGTGAACGTCGAAATTAGCCATTCTTGCCCTCACCAGCAGAGGGATGCTAGAGTTAGGGGCCCCTTCAAGCAACTCCTCGAGGTAGAAAGTGATTGGTTCTGATCTGCCCTTGACCTTCTTGAATGTCACCGCTTGTGTCGGGGTTGCATCGACCAACTCGTCGAGCTTTCTTTTCGCGGAGTTTATAGAGATGACGTTGAACCCCCCGTCGGTTATAACAATGGCGGAGGGGAATTTCTCCCACCTGCTGTGCGTGGAAAAATGTTCTTCCTCGTATCTATCAGGGACGTAGAAGTCCTCTGGCCTTGTTACGGAGAAATCTATCTAGATGGGGGCCACCTCATTTGATGGTCGAGTGTCCTCTTCGACCTTTTCTAACTCACATGCATCTCGACGAGGGGCATCATTATGTCAGTATTGCCCGAGTCTGCCACCCTTGATGAGGGTTTTGATGGCATCTTTGAGGTGGACACAGTCTTCAGTCAGGTGCCCATGATTTTGATGGTACTGATAGTATTTTCTCCTGACAGCTCCGGGCTTCGCATGAGCAGATCGAGGATGTTTGACGCCATCGTCCTTGAAGTCGGTATTAGCGCACTCCGCCAGGATGCGCTCGCGGGAAGCGGTCAGTGGAGTGTATTAGGTGAATCACCCTGCGGGTCCCCTGTGCTTGCGGGGATCACGCGGTTTATCATCCCTTTTCTTTTATCTCGTTCGTCGAGGAGGGTCTACGTCCTGGTGTCGGTGTTGGTTGATCCGCGATTTCTTGGGTCACGAGATTCGTTGGCTGCTTCCCTCTCCTTGTAGTCCATATAGGCCCTAGCTTTTTTGAGGAGAGCATTGAAAGTCCGGGGTGGTTCGATACCGACGACTTTCCTGAACTCTATGCCCGGGAGGAGTCCTCTCTCGAGCAAATATCTCTTCATGTGATCGGTACAGAAGACCTGAATGGCCTCGCGGTTGAACCGATCTATGTACTCCATGAGGGTTTCGTTGTTTCTTTGGACGATAGCCTCGTGGGCGGCCTCAGTCTTTGGATGTCAACGAGTGGCTGTGAATAAGCTGATGAATTGGTTCTTTAGGTTTCTCTAGGAGGTGATTGACCCTGGGGGGAGGTCCTTGTACCAGTCCATTGCAGTCTTTCTCAAGAACGTGGGGAACAATCGACATTTGATTGGTCCCCCGACATTATGATAGTGGAGCATTGCCTCAAACCCGTCGATGTGGTTGACTGGATCCGCAATACCGTCATATTCCTTCAGTTGGGGAGGCTTCTCCATTCACCTGGGAATGGGCGCCTCCATGATTGCTTGGGATAAGGGACCGCGGGGGTCGTCTTTGTCGCTCATGTAGGGGGAGTGGGAGGGCTGCCGATTCTAGTGGCGGTCGTAGTGATGGCCTTGGCCTCAGGGAGGATCCCTTGGTCGAGGATGCGCTTCTACGTTGCCCCTGTTTCTGTTTTTAGGGGATCGTTGTTCCCTGCGCGGGGGGTGAGGCCATGTCTCCCGGTAGCCTCGGGTATTATTCTGTCCAACGCGGGGCGTCGCTCAGTCTGTCGGGAAGAGAGGCTTTGCGACCTGTCCTGTCTGTGTCTCTTCGGGGGAGATCAAAGACGGTCTTCATTCTGACGAGGAGGTGGAGTGTCAGGTCTTCTGTGTCTTCTGGGGTTTCGATGAGAGTCCTCGAGCATCCTTAGTCACTCACCTTGCGAGAAGATTAAGTAACTCGTCTGGTTAATGGCCGCGAACAGAGCCCTGGTCATGGCGTTAGCACCCACGAGGACGGGGACCTCCTGGAAAACGTTCGACTCGTAGTTCTGGGGCGGATGGGCGCCCCCATGTGGCTGAGAGAGGCATGATGAAGAGGAGGTTATGCTGGGTTTGCCATGACGATCAAAAGAATTGGTAGAGTTGCTTTAGTCTTGGGCAAATGAAAGGAAGTGAAGCTAGTTTCTCACAGACGGTGCCACTGGTCGTACCTGACCATAATGGATCGCCAAAGCCTACAAGCTGTGAGTTGAGAAGCAGCTGGAAATGAGATGGGGGGGTACCTGCAAGATACTTTGATGCCAAAGTAAGGTTTAGAGCAATACGAGCAAGTATGAGAGTGAGTATGAAAGAATGAATATCTGACCCTCTCAAGTGAGAGAGTATTTATAGCCCCCAATGTTGGACCAAGATCCCCATCGTTGGGCTGGGCAAGCAGGCCCAAAATAGAGACTGTCAGGTCCTACATGCGTAGTGGGTCCTGCACGTGGTCTCCAACCTGGATGGACTCCCTCGAATAGTCAGGAGAATATAGATGCAGTCTTTTCGGAACCAAGAGGACTCCGTGATATTCAGGGATGTTGTGAGTCAATCCTACGAGGAGGATGTTCATGATGTCCTTTTGTCTGTCGTGGGCCCTCCCCGCCAGTTGTGAGGTCATCCGGGAGGACTTGTCTTGATCGACGAGAAGAGTGGAGATGCTCGTGAGGTCCTCCTGACCGGCGACGAGCCTCCTCGCGATTCTTGAATTTATCCCCGTATGGAGAAACCGCATTTTCTCAAAGGATGAGATTGCTGTCCGACATAGTCGAAGACAAACTTGATCAGCAAGCCTCTTTGAGCAGCATAGTTGAAATGAGTCTCATATAAAATTAGACGATATGCAGGCCCATTCCAAAATAACTATATTGTAGAATATTGACACTATCTGGAATTGATGATTATTTGGGTGAAGTAGAATTTTGATGACACTTTTATTTTAGATTAACTTTTATACTCACAAAAATTTATATAACACATATATATATATATATATATATATATATATATATATATATATATATATATATATATATATATATATATATATATATATATATATATATATATATATATATATATATATATATATATATATATATATATATATATATATATATATATATATATATATATATATATATATATATATATATATATATATATATATATATATATATATATATATATATATATATATATATATATATACTTTCTTTTTAGTGAGATTAACTTTTCTAATTTAATTATCGTAATTCTACATTATATATTAAATTTTATATTTTTTTTCATTTCAGAATATATATATATTAAAAAGTAAATTATAGAATTTTTTTTTTAACATAAATTTTTTTATTCCGTATGACGCCCGTGTATAAACATTAATAAAATTAATTTAATAAAAATATAATTTATTTTAACAACTTTATTAAATTTCTTAACCTACTTCCATAATCTTAAACCACACTACTATTTTATAACCAACAATACATTAACTAGTATCAAGTCAAGAGGCTATATACAGATGGAAAACGACAAACATTTAAAGAGATTGTCATTGTAAACAACACAAGAGAATTCATTGCTTGTCTGTTTCTGGTTGTAACACTCCTTCAAAGAGGAATCGGTGATGCAATACAAAATTCAAAGAGCGTAAGAAACTAGAAGAAAAACAAAGATGAATATGGAAGGAGAAGAGAAAGCACTGAAACTCTACTTCATACCTTACTTAGCACCTGGTCATATGATCCCTCTATGCGATATAGCTACTCTCTTTGCTTCACGCCGTCAACATGTCACCATCATAACCACTCCCTCCAACGCTCAAATCCTTCGTAAATCTATCCCTTTAAACCAACACCTCCTTCTTCAAACTGTTCCCTTTCCTTCCCGAGAGGTTGGCCTCCCCGACGGCGTTGAAAGTCTCTCCTCCGCCACTAGCCCTGATAACCTCGCCAAAATCTACCAAGCCACCACTCTTCTCCGACCACCCATCCAACACTTTGTGGAGAAGCACCCACCTGATTGTATCGTGGCGGATTTCTTGTTTCCGTGGGTGGATGAGCTTGCAAACAAGCTTCGAATACCTAGGCTCGCTTTCAACGGTTTCTCGCTCTTTGCTATTTGTGCCATTGAATCCGTTAAAGCGCACTCTCTTTATGAATATTCTTCTTTTGTAATTCCTGGCCTTCCTCATTCTATCTCCATGAATGCAACACCGCCGAAGATAATGAGTGAACTGTTGGAAGCGCTTTTGGAAACGGTGTTCAAAAGTAATGGACTCATTGTTAACAGTTTCGCTGAACTTGACGGTGAAGAGTACATAAAACACTACGAGGAAACCACTGGTCACAAAGCTTGGCATCTTGGTCCGGCTTCTCTTATTCGTAGAACCGTTCAAGAGAAATCAGAGAGGGGAGAACGGAGCGTCGTGAGCATGCATGAGTGCTTGAGTTGGCTCGATTCAAAGCGAGTTAACTCGGTGTTGTATATATGTTTCGGAAGCCTGTGTCATTTTGAAGATAAACAGCTTTACGAAATTTCTTGTGCTGTAGAAGCATCAGGTCAGGAATTTGTATGGGTTGTTCCTGAGAAGAAAGGGAAGGAAGATGAAAGCGGAGAAGAGAAAGAAAAGTGGTTGGCGAAGGGATTTGAAGAGAGAAACATTGAGAAGAATAAAGGTTTGATTATTAGAGGTTGGGCTCCACAAGTTATGATTCTGAGCCACCCTGCTGTGGGTGCGTTTATGACGCACTGTGGGTGGAATTCAACCGTGGAGGCTGTTAGTGTGGGGGTTCCGATGATAACATGGCCGGTGCATGGTGAGCAATTCTACAATGAGAAGTTGATAACGCAGGTGCGGGGGATCGGGGTGGAGGTGGGTGCAGGGGAATGGAGCATGATGGGGTTTGGGGAGAGAGAAAAGATTGTGAGTAGAGAGAGCATTGAGAAGGCTGTGAGGAGGTTAATGGATGGTGGTGATGAAGCTCAGAAAATCAGACGGAGTGCTCTAGAGTTTGGGGATAAGGCTAAACTGGCCGTTCAGGAAGGTGGATCATCTCACAAGAATATAACGGTCTTGATTGATGAACTCATACGACTGAGGGACCGCAAGCTTCTAGAGTAAAACTCATTTAATTTCTTTGTTTTTTAATTAATTTCAAAATGATAAAAGAAAGTACTTGTAAAAAAGTACATTAATAATGATTTTACTAATGAAGACCAATAAAACAACAATGAAATAACTTAGTGAATTATAAATGTGATCTTCTCTTAGGTTTTTGTATAGCAATTCAGACACGTCTTACATGATTGATCTTGATTGTTATGACTTTTTAATGGTGATGCTAAAATAGATTTGATTGTTCCTACTTCTGAATTGATATATTTCATAATAATTAATGTCTTCTCAATCATATGCCTATTAGATATTGATATGTGTCAAATTTGAGTTGTTATAACGGATTTGATTCATTAACTATTTCAGTTCAATTACATTTTTCTAGATAAATCACTTAAATTTGATGTACTCCACTAGATTTAGGTTAACTCCAGACTCTTCTAAAATCCACTCTAAGAGATCAAACATGTACAATGTCCCTCAAACATGAGTCGTGTAAGAGCGAAATGTTTTCTTATAATTGTTCAAGAATCAGACAAGTACACAACACTTTAAGAATAAGTCTTGTAATGGTAGAGTGCTTTCTTGAAAGACTACAAGAAAACATACATGTACACAAACCTCAAACCTCAACCATGTAAAAGGGAAATACTTTTCTAAAGCCCTTTGTTGTACCCCAAAATTTGTCCTCTCACTTATCAAAGATTTCTTTATCACAAAGATCTCTCTTGGTTCAAGACTGCACTAGGGTTGATCAGCTCAAGACACCTCCTTAAGCACTGATGACCAAAATTAGGGTTTGAGATTGCACAAAGATATTTGAACTGTCAATGTTTCATATGACTTTCATGAATCATTATGGACCCCCAAGATTACTCATGTCAAGTTTCGAGCCTTGGATCACATTTTTGCTCAATCAATTGAACAGTTGACCTAAAAATCAATTGTATTGGGGATAAGGTCAAATATGGCCAGTTTACAGTCAAACTTCATAATTTTTGATCCACATCATCATTATAAACTCATATGTATCATTTGATCAAGTTTGGACCATAATTCCTCAGGAAATTTGATCAAATCATCAAAAGGGCAAAATGGTCAAAATTAGGGTTTTGACTGAGAAATGACAATTTCTGACTTTTGACCTAGCAAATGGTCAATTGGTATGAATCATGATTTCAAGAGTTCAATTTCATCATTTTGACCTAATGGCATGACCTAAAACATTGCTCAAGATCAATTGGATTGATAGTGAATTTTCAGTCAACTAATCAAAAAGTCAACTGTACACTGAAAAGTCAAACTTTGACTTTTTGATCAAAGTTCAATGTCAAAGATCACAATTCATAAAAACATGTCATAATATGAAGCTTATTCATCAATAAATAAAAAATTCAAGATTTCATTTTGAAAAGTCAAAGTTTTCTAACTTAAAATTTTTGTGTTTAAACTTCATGTTTTTTCATAACTTTGGGCCAATTTTTCACCATGATGTAAGGGGATTCAGAAGAAAATCTCAACATGAAAGTTATATATCTCCATGATATCTACAAAATTTCTTTACACAACTTCTCCTAAAAATGCTTGGATCTCAAGTTATTAATTCCTAAGGTCATGGTCTTGAAATTGGACACTTAATGAAATTTTGCCCTAGTTTTGGTCAGGATTTTGACCTAACTTCATGACACTTTTTCATATAGTTCCAAGGAGAATTTTTAAAAGTGATTCAAATAGAATTTGTAGAGCACATTACAAGCTTTCCAAAATGTCCAAGAACTCCTTGAGATCATTCTTGAGCAAGTAGAATCGAAGAGATGAAGTTAGGGTTTTCATACTTGAACTACAAGTTATTTTGTGATGAACAAGATTCAAATTTCAAACCTATACTGCATAATATCTACTTTACAGGCCTCAAACTTGTTAGGAACTCCATAATTAATTGTTTGCGTAGCTGTTAGAGGTCTCAATTCAAGCATTCAATGCAAGGCCATGCTTTATATCCATTTTAGGAAGAAAGTGCACAATGCCATTTTGATAAAGTAGCTTTTTGCACAAAACTTTTTCTTGAGCCTTGCAATTGTTTTCTTCTTATCCTACATGTCCTATAACTCAAGAGAAGTTTGTCTAAACATTTACAATCACTCAGCCCATGCTTGTACTTCCTCTTGAAACCATACTTCCCACTTTTCTTCAAAATCAAGTAACATAGCAATCAGTCTAGAACTGGCACTTTTGACCCTCTCAAGCACTCAAGTCTTTTGCTTATACATACACAAGTAATTTGTCACAAAACACACGCATGCCTGAGCCCTGAAAACACCAAAAACTCAAATTTGCATCTGATACCTCCATTTTCACATAACTTGACCAAAAGTTTGAAACTCATAACTCCCTCGTGTGTTTTCAAGCTTCTTTGTTTTCAAAGCTTCTAAACATCATTTAGAAGTCATCCCTCATCCTGTTACAGTTCTGCAACACCTCCATCACCATCCTCCATTTCCAAAAACAGAGGTTTGCATCTTGACTTCTCCAGACCAATTCAAGCACTTACAACTCAAAGTAATCATTGCATTAACTTCCTGGGACCTCAGTGGAGCTATTTTGACCATCACAACACTTTGAGGAGTGCTCATTTGCAGAACACGACTTCAAGTTTTGAGGTAAGTTATCTCAACTTTGAACTCTTCATACAAGCATCATTAATGTTTAATTTGTGAATGAAAAATATAGACATCATTGTTCTGAAGCTAACCATGTCTTTAGATTTCATTTATATTGCTTGAGTAGTTAGAATTTTGAATCTGAACATCCTGAAAAAATTAAGTCAAAATTTGGTACCATTTAAAATTCGTGTTCATTCTTGAGAATTAGTTTAAGTTGTTTACATTTCTGGAATCGTGGTAAAATTTTACACAAGTTTCATGTTTACTTTGTTGCAAATGGTTGAGAAATGAACGAGTTAGAGGTGGTCTGGATGGAGGTTGAAGATGAAGTGTAATCAAGGCGCGTTTTATGTTATATATGTATGGTTTTGCATAAGTTAACGGATGTATCACCACCCCAGTGGATAAAGCGGGCGCCTATCACTATGAGGTCCTGGATTCAAGCCCCAGCGTGACCTTTTGTGATTTTTTCACATTTTCACACTTTTTTGACTTTTTTGCAGAGTTGGGCTTCACTCCTTTGGGCCTATTCTTTTTTGCTTATTCTGACTCCCCTGGACTATTCACACCCCTGGCCTATTTTATTTTATTTTTCTCATTTTTCATTTATTTATTTTCTTTAATATTTTATCTAATATTAAAAAAAATTAGAAAAAAAATATAAAAACATTAGATTTATATTTTGATATAGTTAATTTATTTTTTATAATAAAAATTATTTTTATTTAATCATACTTTATTTATTTTACTAATTGGTTTGTAAATTTAATTAAAAACTAGGGTTTTAGTTATTTTCTTTTACACAATTAAAATATATTATTTTAAAACCAAAAAAGACCAAAAATATTTTATAATACTATAAATTAATTTTAAGACAAAAATACCAAAAATATTCTTCTTACGAACTTAATCTCTTTTTTAATCAATTAATATTTAAATTAGGGTTTTATTTAAATTCTTTTCCTAGTAAATTTAGGTTTACTTTTTAGTAATTTAATTAATTATTTTCTTTTAGTTAATTAGGTTAAAACTAAACCCTTTCCCAAAAAAATCCAAACAAAAATCCATTTTTCTTTCCATTTACATTCTTGTATATTTATTCATTTTTGTACATTATTTATCCAAATTCAATATGGTTGTAATAAATAATTAGGTTTATTTTCTTGCAATTCCCATTTGTAATTTGTACACCCCTCCCACAAGTATTGTAATAGCATAGTAATTTTAAATTCTGCAATTTATCGCTTTATATACAAATGCTAGTAATTAAGGTTTTGAATGGAAAGACTAAAACCAATCAATTAGAAAACCTTAATCAAAGATAAAGCCAAGCATGAAAAACAATACAGTTGCACACAACTACCCCTAGGGTAAAATCCACTTGGTTGCCTTACAAAATGGCCATGTTATGCATGTGAGGTATTTTAGCAAAAACAAACGAACAAAAGATCATAGTCCCTCGATGACGCTATCAAAAGGTGGATTTCAAAATGATCTTAGTCCCTAAAGAGAGATGTTAAGATACCTTGTAACATTGCTAATCATGGTTATACGATGACCCACGCCCGTCCTGTTCACATCCAAATATAGGGTTACTTACCAAATTAATGGTAAGATAACAATGTCAAAGGAAAGAGGAAATAAACAAGAAAGACTTTTGAGTAGGTAGAATGTTCCTAGTTACTTGATCAATTTCAAAACCAAAATATCCTTGCTGTTTTCAAAACAAACACCAAACACTTTCAAAACATCTTTCAAAACTTGAAAACATTTTCAAAATATTAACACTTTGTATACATTCTTACGAACGAGAATCATTACAAAGTTTTCCTAGACGATGGCGCCTTTTCAAAATACTTTCCAAAACCACACAAAGCACAATTTCAAACAAAAGCAAGTGATCTAGCAAGTAACCAAGAGCCTAAGGAAAACCATGGATGAAAAGGGTGCTAATACATTCCCTTTTCATAATCTACCCCCCTAACTCAATAAACAATCTCAAAGATCTTTCCTGTGCTTTTTCACATTTCCTTTTGGATAAAAGAAAATTCGGTGGCGACTCTTGCTAACCGCAACATTCACGATAAAACGCAAAAACACCCAAGTCAGTTCTCCCGCCGCATCATAGAACTGACGACTCTGCTGGAAAAAATTCTAAAAGTGGGGTTACCTTAGGGTAAGATCACATTTACTTGATTTCTTTGTTTGACTTGTATGCTTTATATTATGGTTCTTTGTTCGGGTTTGAATCCTCTACCCGAATTTGGGATACCTTATAGGTAAGTAGAAATACGTTGTGGAAACTCTACAGGGTATACCGACATGGTCTAAGCAATAGCTACG